TTTGCCGCGTACTCAGCGTGGGTTCGACTCCATTTTTGTCGTTGTGGACAGGTTTTCGAAGATGGTACACTTTATCCCCTGTAAGAGGACCACTGATGCGGTTCATGTGGCTCAGTTGTTCTTTCGAGAGGTGTACCGTCTCCATGGCCTTCCGTCCTCGATCGTCTCGGATCGCGACACACGGTTTCTCAGCCACTTCTGGCATAGTTTGTGGCGCATGGCGAACACTCGTTTGGATTTCAGCAGTGCTTACCATCCCCAGACGGACGGCCAGACGGAAGTAGTGAATCGGTCGTTAGGTAACCTCCTTCGTTGCTTGGTGGGTGATAATATTCGCAGTTGGGACCAGCGGTTGGGCCAAGCTGAATTCGCTCATAATTCGGCTATCAGTCGGGCCACGGGCTTGTCCCCTTTCGAGGTGGTTTATGCGGTCCGGCCTCGGGGACCGTCGGATTTGTTGAGCCTGCCGCCTGTAGCCGCGACCGAACGGCGGGCTGCCGACCCTATTGCGGACTTGGGGGCGACCCACGAGGCCACCACCACGGGCTACAAGCGCCGAGCGGATTTGCGACGTCGACATGTGGAGTTCTCGGTTGGTGACTACGTTTGGACATCTGACTAAGGATCGGTTCACGGCCCACGAGTACAACAAGCTGTCAGCCCGGAAGATTGGCCCGATCGAGGTAATTGAGAAAATCAATCCTAATGCTTATCGTCTTCACCTTCCTTCTCATATTCGTACATCTGACATTTTTAACGTCAAGCATTTGGTGCCATTTGTGGGGGACAACTCGGAAGACGAGACCGGTTCGGATTCGAGGCCGAATCCTCCTCAACCGGGGGAGGATGATGAAGACGAGACCGCCATTGCGTATCTGAATAAATACGACCGCCTTCGGGTTTAGTCGGTTTTAATGTCTTATTATTATTAGTACTATTTTATTTTATTTCCTTTAGGTATTTAGTATTTTGGGGTAGAATAATAGTTATCTTGTAATTGTGGAGCAAGATTAGAAAGTTTATTTTTCTTTTTCATTTATATGCTGTGAAAAACATTAGGGATTCTCAGTTTTTGACGATTGAAATAATTTTCTGCCTGAGAGAGTATCTCACTTTTTATCTGTTCTTGAGAGAGTATCTCAATTTTATTCCGGTTCGTACTACGCTCTACATCAGATACCGTCATACCGATATCGAATCGAATACTATCGGTTTCACTACTTTGCGAACCGAACCGAACCGATAAACATTCGTTAACGTTACCGAATGTTTATCGGTTTGGTTTCGGTTTAATGGATAATAAACCGAAGAAACCGAACCTATTCACTTAACAGAGCAGCAGCAGCAGGCAGCCATGAATTTTTCCTTTTCTGTTGGGGTAATTTGAATGAAAGAATTCGGTATAGAAAATTCAAATAAGTTTTCCACCACCACAAATAAAGTAATAGCTAAGCTAGTGTGTAAAATAAACATTAACAGCAGCCATGGATTAAATATAAAGAGCAGCAACAGGCTAAATATAACATCACTAAATAAAGTAATAAACAGTAGCCACGGATTAAATATAACAACACTAAATAGGCATGGATTAAATATAACAACACTAAATAAACAGTAACAGCAGCAGGCTAGCAGCCATGTAACAGAGAAGCAGCAGCACATAGACATGTAAAGGTGAGGACCGTGAGGTGGTGAACCGTGAACGACTAATGAACGGCAAATTGATGAACGAAACAATATTATGAGATGAACGAAGGAGGCGATTGACAACTCTGAAGTGAGATGAACGAAGGAGGCGATTGAAATTTGAACGGGTCTGCTCTAGCCCTAGTTCTGTGTGTTCACTCTTTTAATATTATGATTATCCGTCGTCCTTTTTGAGTTTTTTCTTAGATTAATTAAGACCAAATTATTTTATTTAATTAATATAATACCTATTCAAAGCAGTATTTTAATTATTTTTTTTATATTGTTATCGGTTCGGTTCGGTAAATCTGAGCCCTTATGGGTTCGGAACCGATACCGAACCGATAACATTTTGGTAACCGAAAATCGATTACCGTTACACATGGTTCAGTTCGGTTCGATTTTTGGTTTTCGGTCAAAAAATACCAGCCCTACATCTGGGTGAAAAAGGGGACCTTGATTGTCCTACCAGATCGGATTTATCATGGTTTTACACTTGACTCAACAATTATATTAAGGCAATGCGGTTGTTTCTTGGTGAGCTTGTATGGACCGCTTATAATCACACGCATGATTATCTTTCTGCTAGAAAACTAATATTTTGAGACCTTTGTGGAAAAGGCAGAAGCTGGTCAAGTTGTTGATGTTGCAGTTTGAGAAAAGTCTTCTGTCTTTCTTGCATATAAGCATGTACGAACATATAAAGATTATTATGTAAACTTTATTTGAAGAGCCATGTTGTGTGATATATTATGAGTTGTACCCGACTACAAGTCGGTTCGGTTTCGGTTTTATATTTGGTGGTATCGAAACTTTCGGTTCGGTATCGGGAATCCCCTATTGGTTCGGTTATCGAACCGAACCCACCCTTGGGTATATGTGTTGTTGTATGTAATTAACAACTTAAAATTATAAACAGCTGGGTGTATTTAAACAAAAATAAGAAGATAATTGTACTTTATTTATGATATCACAAGAGTGCAGGAAGTCGGTTTTTTGTTCTTGACCGAGATAATTTCAAGTCCATGTACAATGTGTGAAAGAAAAGATAAATAAGGCCCTTCTTACAACTACAAATTCTGCTATTTATAGTACGGTTGCTTTTGTCTTTTTGTCCGAGGTAGATAAGATCGCATTTAATGTTGAGCTGCTTCAATTAAACGGTGTGTAGTGGAATGAAGAAACATCAATGATCGCTTTTTGTTTTAATGGCCCAATCGAATGTGTACAGCTCCTCTTGCTTGTTCTTGCTTGAAAATTCGATCCCCTCGAATGTCGGATAAATGGATAATATTTTGAAGATTATATTCATATGTTGGTGAAGTCGGTTGTCGGCTTCTGATAAGTTGTCGGTTCTACTTTCAGTCAACTAGAAGTCGGTAGTCAACGCATTTAATTGGTTCCGACTTGAGCTAAGTTCAGCTATTTCTGAAGAGCTATTAATTAAATGAAGCGATTAGTCTTTTAGCTCTAACCTCATGAAGCCAAGTCGGTCATCAACAATATGTATGGTGTATGTTTCATTAATTTGTAGTTTCTGTGTAACCTTGTATGTATATGTATGGTTTATGTTTCATTAATTTGTAGTTCCTGCGTTTTTGTGCTTCGTTAATTTGTAGTCACTGTTATAGACCTATAATAAACTGGAAGTAAATCAAATATAAATTTATTAAGAAAAAGTCCATAAAGTTCCAATAAAAACAAGAGATAATTACCCTACACACTAACTTAATCATAAAATATTATATATCTACGAACAACAAATTTTATTAGCAAAATGAGATCAGATGACCTAAATATTTGTACATATAAGATTGTTATACACATAAACATTAATTACTTTTTTTTTCTTTTTTCATTCTCTTCTTCTCTCCTTATTTCTCCTCCTTATACGATCCTCTCTCTCCCCCAGCAAAAGAATAGAAAAAAAAAAATCAGATCTAGACCTATCGCCCCCTTTCTCCTTCCGGTGGCTGCGATTGCCCGAAAAAAAAACCAGATCTAGACCAATTGCCCCCTTCTCCTTCCGACGGCTGCGATTGTCCGGCTTGGCCTTGGCCGCGGCTTCGCCTAGTTATTCATCACCGTCGGCCCTCGAGCGTGCTGATGGTGGACGAGCCGTCGTCGTTCTCCACCTCTCCTCGTCGCCATTAGACGATTCTCCGTAGCAGAAGTTGGCGTTAGATTCGAATTTCATGAAATCGCGGATGTTTCAACATCTTTAGGAGTTGAGTAACAGCACATCGTCTCCTTCTTCAATGAGAGAGGACAGTGCATAAAGAAGAGACATCTCCCTCCGGGGAAAGAGAGAGAAGCTGAAAGAGTGACTATTAGTGAAGAGAAAGATTTATTTAAGATTGAGATTGATTCAGAGGTTTCTGCGTTGCTGATGTAATCTTTCGATAGTGGAGATAAAATTTATTTCACATTGATATTGATTCAGAGGTTTCTGCATTGCTGATGTAATCTTTCGATAGTGGAGACGGCGGGCGCGCGGCTAGAGTTTTCTGTTTTTATAAACTGTTATTGTGGCCAAACTCGACAACTATGTATATCTTCCGTATATTTTCTGTATATATATATGCTTTATATGTGTAGTACATTTATACTTTTATTTTTGTTGTTTGTGTATTTGCAGGTATATATATTGTATATTTTTTTGTATATATACTGTTTATATTTTTTGTATGTATATAAAAATGTATATGTCATGTATTAAGTCATGTATATATCCGGCATAAACTTAAACGAAGACTGGGATAAAAAAAGTTGAAAAATGTATATGTCATGTATATATCTAACATAAACGAAAATTGGGATAAAAAATGCCGACATAAAAATGTTTCTCTCTCCAGATATAAAACCCACAATTAGCGCAATCAATTCACCTGCGCAATTTAAGGGATGTTCTTCCATTTTTTTTGGTAACTATATATTTGGATATACACAAATAAATGTCATCTAATTGGTAGGAATGCAATTATAATTCTCCCCATCGTAACATTGCAATTTTTTTTAAATGGTGTGGTAAACATAAAATTATCCCTAAAAACAAAGTGTGAAATAAAATATGAAATACTTTTCAAATGATTATATTATTCAAAAACCTTTCACAAACTCTCGTAACAACGTAAATTAGCCTCAGATTATCAAGAGTCCAGTTTAAAATCAGGTGTCCAGTTTAAAGCAACGGGTTAATAGTTGATGGGCTTGGGCCTAAAAATGTAACCAAACAAACCTAAAAAATAACCGTTAAAGGATGGATATATTACGATGCCTGATAATAACAACGAATAACAATGAGAAAATTATACCCTAGACGAGGCAAAATTCAGAAAACCCATGAGATTCACCGTCAATCGGTCCATTGATGCACTCAGACTCCGCAAGACCAACAATCGCATCCCGCCGGAGTTCAACCGCCTATTCTACCACCACAACCTGCCGTCAACACAACGAGCGAGAGAGGAGATACACGCCATATTCTGGGAGGGCGGCGTCAGATCAGCATCGACACGAACAAGGATACCTGCGGCACCGCCTTCTTGGCGCTACGATGCTGAGACCGCCCCACCTTTCGGCCTTCAGCGTTTCCAGCAGATCTCAGATCTTTGATACCGCCGTTGGCGTTACCCGCAGGCGAAGTTGGGCAAGAAATTTGTCCAGAGGAAGACGGAAATTAGTTTCTTCTGCACTTGTGCTATGCTGCATTAGGGTTTGATGTTTTGAGTGAAAGAATGTTTATATCGATGCCTTCTGATTTTCTTCACCATTCTAAAGCCCCTTTTCTTTGTATATTGTCAAGATTCGGGGTCCTATGTGAAAAGAAAGATGCGGGCCAAATAGCCATTGAAGCATGAACGAAGATTTCCAGTCTGCTTCTCAAACAACAAAAAGCCTCTCATGTTAGTGCGATTAGGGTTTTCTGAATCCCACACAAGTCAGTTTTCTTTATTCTTCTTGTTCTTTTATATTACTCGCAACAGGTGAGTTAATTGCTTTCTTTATCATTGTTAACTGTATATGTTATCTCTATTTTCTCCTGTTGTTCAATTACATGATTGGGATTTTTTTTTCTCTTGTGCTTAATCTGAGTGAGACAACTTGTTTACTTATTGTGGTCTTACTGCCATAATTATCACGGATCAAACCTTGTTGTGTATCAGTTTTTTAAGAATTTCTAAACTCTTTCACACTGTGATTATTTCTTTTCGCTTTCTGACATTTATGAATTGTTTATTGCATTTGTCCATATGGTTTTTAATTCTAGTTTTTTGGGTAGTTTGATCTATCACTTTGTTGTAATGGTGGGGATGCCTTTTGAAGTTGGACTAAATTTGATTTCTGGCTGTGTAGAGTTGACTGTTTATTGGTGGTGATTGGATATGACGAAAAGTTGTTGGATGATTGAATTTTCTTGTGCTGTTTTTGTTCGTTTTCTTTTTAATTATGAGCGAATCAGGAAAAAAGGAAAGAAAAAACTCTATTTGCTGCGTAGATTGAATAAATTGAAAATATTGTCGTGTTCGGTTGTGTTGCTTATTTGTGGATATGGAGTTGGACATTCAATTAGACATTTTATTAGTTTGGTCTATGTATTAATATTTTCCAACTAAGGTCCTGGTCCTGTTTTTTCTTAATGCTTTTAATTTGATTTCTTGTACAACTCTCGTGCTATCTCCTTCTACTATACATTTCCTCTTATTTCTTGTTCTGCTTTGGGGACGTCTTGGTTTGTGCAATGTATTTGGTTGTGCTACCTGTTTGTGGATAAGTGTTTTGTGGATAAGGGATTGTACATTCGATTATATTTTTAAGTTTTCTTATATACTAATGTATTCCTAACCACGATCTCTTTATTTTTTTATTCTCTTAATATTGATTTTTTGTCCTATCCTCTTGTGCTATCAATAAAGCTCATCCAATTTATTTGCCCTACCTTAGGGGACGTCTTTGTTGGGGTTTTGAGTTCGATTGTGCTATGTATTTGTGGCTAAGGGGTTGGATATTCGATTTAATTTTTTAGTTTGCCAAAACTCTGTTTCAATCAACTATATTATTTTCTTTTGGAGACCTGCAACCTTAAATCTTAAACTTTTGTTTCACTCTTTTATTACTAGTTAATTTCTTTTCTTTGCTATACTCTGGGATTAATATGGTTTTTGTTTGTGAATTTGATTAGGCTACCTATAATTCTTTTTCTGGGGCTTGGAGATAGGTTGGTGTTCGATTGTATATATATATATTTTATGTAGAAATATTTCCTTGTTAATGACTCTTATTGTTTACTTTATAACTTTGATCATATTGTTTCGTTCTCCTATGCTATCAATATGCTTCATTTGACTTCTGTCTTACCTTGTGTGATGACCTTTGAATGATGATGTGCTACTTATTTGTGCCTATGGAGTGGGACATTCAATTAGATTTTTTATTGGTTTGGTATATGTACTAATATCTTCTAGTACTTTCTTTATACTTTCTTGGTTGGGGCTTGGACTTTAATTGTGCTATGTATTTACCACTAAGGGATTGGACACTCAATTATATTTTTTTAGTTTTGTCTATGTTCTAATATTTTCTTTAATTATAGTTCTTAAACCATCTTTTACATGCCTGTACTAATGTGACATAAAATGGCTATGTGCTATGATTTTTAGTCTTTTAGATATGGTTGCGAGCCATTTACTAGCTTTAGAGTTTTTTAATCAATCTAATATTGTATTTTGGCGAACTTGCAACCATAAATTTTAATTCACGCTCGTATTGTTACTATGAGTTCTAGAATTCCTTTAGCATACTTTGAGATTGATATGATATTTTCTTTGAATTTTATTGTGCGACCTATCATTCTTTTTTACTTCTTTTTTACTGGGTGGAGAGGTTGGTGTTCGACTATACTTTGTTTTTCTATGTACAATTATTTCCTTGTTAATTTCTTATTGTTTCATTATATTTTAACTTGGATCTTTTTGTTCTATTCTCCTATGCTATCAATATGGTTCATTTGAATTCTTTGCCCTACCTTGGGCGACGACTTGGTTTGGGTTTGAATCCCGGCGTGTTGCTTATTTGTGGCTACAGAGTTGAATGTTCAATTAATCCTTTTATAAATTTGGTCTATGTACTAATATTTTCCAACTAAGGTTCTGTTATTTTCATTATGCTTTTAATTTTGATCTCTTGTGCTACCAATACAACCAATAGTCCAATACAGTTCATCCAATTTCTTGCCCTGCCTTTAGGACGTCTTGGTTTGGGCCTTGAATTTTTGGTTGTACTATCTATTTGTGGCTAAGGGATTGGACCTTTGATTAGATTTAGTAAATTTTTTATATATTAATTTCTTCTTCAATTAGACATTTTATTTGTTTGGTCTATGTATTAATATTTTCCAACTAAGGTCCTGCTCCTGTTTTTTCTTAATGCTTTTAATTTGATTTCTTGTACAACTCTCGTGCTATCTCCTGCTACAATACATTTCGTCTTATTACTTGTTCTGCTTTGGGGACGTCTTGGTTTGTGCAATGTATTTGGTTGTGCTACCTGTTTGTGGATAAGTGTTTTGTGGGTAAGGGATTGTACATTTGATTATATTTTTAAGTTATCTTATATACTAATATTTTCCTAACCACGATCTCTTTATTTTCTTATTCTTTTAATATTGATTTTTTGCCTATCCTCTTGTGCTATCAATAAAGCTCATCCAATTTCTTTGCCCTACCTTAGGGGACGTCTTTGTTGGGGTTTTGAGTTCGATGGTGCTATGTATTTGTGGCTAAGGGGTTGGATATTCGATTGTATTTTTTGATTTGCCATCTTTGATGTGTCGGTACTACGGTAGCATGAAACTCTATTTCAATCAACTCTATTATTTTATTTTGGAGAACCTGCAACCTTAAATCTTAAACTTTTGTTTCTCTCTTTTATTATTAATATAATTTATTTCCTTTGCTATACTTTGGGATTAATATGGTTTTTGTTTGTGAATTTGATTAGGCTACCTATAATTCTTTTTCTGGGGCTTTGAGATAGGTTGGTGTTCGATTATATATATATTTTATGTAGAAATATTTCCTTGTTAATGACTCTTATTGTTTACTTTATAACTTTGATCATTTTGTTTCGTTCTCTTATGCTATCAATATGCTTCATTTGACTTCTGTCTTACCTTGTGTGACGACCTGGTTTGGTCTTTGAATGATGATGTGCTACTTATTTGTGCCTATGGAGTGGGACATTTAATTAGATTTTTTATTGGTTTGGTATATGTACTAATATCTTTCAGTACTTTATACTTTTAATTTTGATATCTTGTATTACTCTCTCATGCTACCAGTACTAGTACAACCAGTGCCTTGCTCTGTCTTAGAGATGTCTGAGCAATGAATTTGGTTGTGCTTCTTATTTGTAGCTTGGCTGACGAGTTGGACATTCAATTAAATTTTAAGTTTTCTTATACTAATATTTTTCTACTACTGATCTCTTTATTTCTATAATCTTTTAATATTAATTATATGTTCTATTCTCTTGTGCTACCAATACAACCTATCTGATTTCTTTGCCCTACCCAAGGGGGCGTCTTGGTTGGGGCTTGGACTTCAACTGTGCTATGTATTTACGACTAAGGGATTGGACAGTCAATTGTATTTTTTTAGTTTTGTCTATGTTCTAATATTCTCTTTAATTGTAGATCTTAAACCATCTTTGACGTGCCTGTACTAATGTGACCTGAAATGGCTATGTGCCATGACTTCTAGTCTTTTAGATATGGTTGCGAGCCATTTATTAGACTTTAGAGTTTTCCAATCAATTATAATATTGTAATATTTTAGTTTGGCGAGCTTGCAACCATAAATTTTAATTCACGCTCGTATTGTTACTATGAGTTCTTGAATTCCTTTAGCATACTTTGAGATTGATATGATTTTTTCTTTGAATTTTATTGTGCGATATATCCTTCTTTGTTAGGGGGTGGAGAGGTTGGTGTTCGACTATACTTTGTTTTTCTATGTACAATTATTTCCTTGTTAATTGCTTATTGTTTCATTATTTTTTAACTTGGATCTTTTTGTTCTATTCTCCTATGCTAATATTATGGTTCATTTGAATTCTTTGCCCTACCTTGGGCGACGACTTGGTTTGGGTTTGAATCCCGGCATGCTTCTTATTTGTGGCTACAGAGTTGAATGTTCAATTAATCCTCTTATAAATTTGGTCTATGTACTAATATTTTCCAACTAAGGTTCTGTTATTTTCGTTATGCTTTTAATTTTGATCTCTTGTGCTACCAATACAACCAATAGTCCAATACAGTTCATCCAATTTCTTGCGCTGCCTTGGGGACGTCTTGGTTTGGGCCTTGAATTTTTGGTTGTGATATCTATTTGTGGCTAAGGGATTTGACCTTTGATTAGATTTAGTAATTTTTTTATATATTAATTTGTTCTTCAATTAGACATTTTATTAGTTTGGTCAATGTATTAATATTTTCCAACTAAGGTCCTGGTCCTGTTTTTTCTTAATGCTTTTAATTTGATTTCTTGTACAACTCTCGTGCTATCTCCTGCTATTATACATTTCGTCTTATTTCTTTTTTCTGCTTTGCGGACGTCTTGGTTTGTGCAATGTATTTGGTCGTGCCGTCGTGCTACCTGTTTGTGGAGAAGTGTGTTGTGGGTAAGGGATTGTACATTCGATTATATTTTTAAGTTTCTTATATTCTAATATTTTCCTAACGACGATATCTTTATTTTCTTATTCTTTTAATATTGATTTTTTGTTCTATCCTCTTGTGCTATCAATAAAGCTCATCCAATTTCTTTGCCCTACCTTAGGGGACGTCTATGTTGGGGTTTTGAGTTCGATTGTGCTATGGATTTGTGGCTAAGGGGTTGAATATTCA